TTATTGCTAAAGAAATAACTGTTGAAGATGTAAGAAAATGGAGTGGGCATTATTGCTAAAGAAATAACTGTTGAAGATGTAAGAAAATGGAGTGGGCTAGTGTTGGGGGTGTAAATGTAAAATGCTACCCTATTTAATGCATAGGGTAGCATTTTATATATATATATAGATTTGAATTTTTTTTTTAAATTTGAATATCTATTTTGGTCAAGCTACTTGACCAAAATACATTGAAAATTTCCGCCAACATTTTGAATTTCGCCTACAAAATAGTCATTAAATTTGCCAATATATTTCGGTCAAGCTACATGACCGAAATACATTGAAAATTTCCGTAAACATTTTCAATTTCCCCCTAAATCTGCTAATATATTTTGGTCAAGCTACATGACCGAAATACATCGAAAAATTTTCGTAAACATTTTCAATTTCCCTCTAAATCTGCCAATATATTTCGGTCAGCTACTTGACCGAAATATATTGAATACTTTTATTCAGGTTTATTTCTCATTCGGTCAAATTGCTTAACCAAAAAAATATGCAAAAAATATATTATTTCGATTAGTCATTTTGCCCGAGATAGGCTGAGGATAAGTGTTTTTGCCATTTTATTTCAGTTAGTTATTCTATTTGAAAAAGTAAACTCAAATACCAAAAATAACCCTTACTTCTAATTTGGTCAATATGCTTGACCAAAATATTTAATTAAAATATTATTAATTAGTTCGATCAAATTATTTATCAGAATATTGTAGTTATTTAATGAGTTTTTAAGGCACATTTTCAGTTAGTTATATTAATCGAATTAATGATATATTTTGGTTAAAATGAAATTTTCTCTGAAATACTATTTCGTATAGAGAATATTTGGACCAATAATTCGGTTAGTGGGCTTGACCAAAGTGTTGTCTATTCAGTCATAAAACACACTATTTCAGTCAAGATGCTTGACCAAAAAAAGACCCTAATTCTAGTAGTGCAACAATTTTTTTCCTTCCTTTCACTCCTTTGTTTCTCTTTTTTTTTTTTTTTTTTTTTGGAATAAGTTCAAATTTCAGGGGATAAGGGAATTTGAACCAGTATCATGTTGTTGAAAGTGTACTTTCAAAGTTGAATACAAGCGAATTGGCTCAAAATGCTAAGTGCCCTTCCATGCATTCTTAGAAGTACATACAACTTTAAAATTAGATTCTTTTTAGATTTTTTTTTTAACTTTTTATTTAGTGATGTTCAAGTCACAATCTTTGTTTATTATATAAATAATTTTTTAGCTTTAAACTCCAAATCTAACATTATAAGAATCATAAATCAAAAGCATATATATCAAGATATTAAAATAAGCACAATACCACCAATCACTATCTCTTTCTAACAAACTAAAGTAGAGGATTAAGGAGTTATGAGCCCAAAAATCTAGACATCTTCTCTGAAGAACTTTCATTTTGTTATTTAATTTATTTTCATTCATTATTTTTCGGCACATATTTTTCATTCTTTATTGTTAATTATTTAACTAAGTTTAGTTTTGTAAATTTAACTAAGTTTAGTTTTGTAAATTTGAGTTCTAAATTGATACTAAAATTTAGTTCTCTATTATTATTTTAGATTATATTTAAGTTTATAGTGTGATAAATAATATTTTATTAAACTTTAATTAAAAAAATTAAATTAGAATAGCATTCAACAAGTACATAAATATATACCCATAAGTTACCTAGTATTTATTGGGTTAGGTACCAACTATGAGCTTTTAAGTATTTGGGTAAATATCAAGTCTAAAAAGCTATGTTAAAAAATTTTCAAATTAAATACTAAATATACCTCATAGCTGACTTGTATTCAAAAATGCTCACACCTAACCCTAAGATTGAGGTGTGACAATCTACAGAAACTTAAATAAAATAAATTAATTAAGAAATAATTACCAAAATTCTACTACACAGCGCAGGTAGAAAATTAATGTAAAAAGTGCATTAATTACGCCCTAACATGTGAGAAAAATGGAGTTAAAACAAGCTTGTTGCTTTTAAAAAGACTTCCGCCACTAAAATTTTGAGCTAAATAAATTTCACCACTTTCTAAAGTTTCTTGTAAGTATACTAGCTCAGGTCCATTTTACTTTTTATACCCTTGCTTATCATGTTTAGAGAGAAAATCGCCCAAATTCATAAAATTACAATAATTACCCTACTGGGATATGTTCTTTTCAAGAATAGAGTAATTAGAAGCTTGTCTTCGAGGCAATATACATGTGTGAGACTCCCCCCTCCATGCTCTTCCTATCCATTTTATGGCAATTATGGAAAAGCGGGAATAAGCTCATCTTCGAGAGCAAAAATCTCCTGATATTAACCTTCTTTCTGATTGCCGAGGATTTTGTGAAACACACGCAGGCTGCACCAGCCACAAACATCATTTCGAGTGTTCATCCTGTAAGGTGGGTCTCTTCAAACCCACCAAATCCTTGTTAAGCTTAACACAGATGTATCAAGATACCATTCCACAGGACAGGCCAGCACTGGCGGGCTCATTAGGGACCGCACGGGTGCTTGGTTGGGTGGGTTCTCAACAAATATAGGAGCGGTTTCGAGTTTTTGTGGCAAGAGTTATCGGGCTGTCGTGAGGGGCTACTTCTTTGTTATCAAAAAGGCTTCGACCACTTGGTTGTTGGTTGTGGAAATGGTTTCCATGGCTGCTGTTAAACTTATCTAGGAAAGAGCTGCCAGGGTTGCTCCAGTTATCTCATCGTTGGTAGACGTCCAGCAACTGCTGGAAAGCTTTCAATCATGCTAGGTGGTACACACTAGGGGAGGGAAATGCTGCAGCGGACTTTCTTGCATCACTAGGCCACCAAATGCCTTAAGGAACGACCAACTTTGCTGCGCCTCCTAGGGGGATTAGACACTATCCTGAAGGATGACGCTGCAGGAATTACCTTCTGCGTACTTAGTCTTATTTTTATTTAG